TGAGTAAGGATAGTGTTGATGTGTTGTGAGGTTGTTAACCATTGTCATAGGGCAACATGTGTACTAACTGTTTAATGAGAAACTATTTTGTTCTGTAAAGCTTCATCTAAAGTGAGAATAGCGGCCCAATTGGAAGAGCATAGTCGATGTCACTGAACTGTGCATGTAGAAATTTTTGAAATGGTGTATCTTTGGCGATGTGTATTTTCACCAAAATAATAAAAAACAAAGCTCGAGAATGGAGAGGGCTGATGTGTCGTGGCGTTGTTAACCAATGTCATAAAACAATATGTGTACTACTGTTTCATGAGAAACTATTTGTTCTGTAAACCCTCACCTGAAGTACAATTAAAAAAAAAAAAAAAAAGAAAAGAAATGTGTGCCTGGGCTTCCATGGTGTGATTTCAAGCTCTTTCCATGCACTTGTGCATCAGTCCCCACTTCTGCCTTTTTCACCCATGGTCCCGTGGATACCATCCCCTAGTGTATGGGTTTCCTGTTGCTGTTGTAACAAATTACCACAAACGTGGTGGCTTAAGACACCACAAGTTGATTTGCCTATGCTCTGGAAATCAGAGGTCCAAAATGGGTCTGACTGGGTTATAATCAAGTAATCACTGTGTTGGCAGGGCTGCGTTGTTTCCGGAGGCTATGGAAGGGAATCCATTTCCTTGCCTTTTCCAGCTTCTAGAGGCCACCTGCATCCCTTTTCTGGTGGCCTCTCTTCCATCTTCAAAGCCAGCACTGGCCAGTCGAGTCTTTCTCCCATGCTTCACTCTGGCTCTGCCTTCTTCCACATTCAAAGTCCCTTGTGATCTCATTTCAACTCATAGCAACCCTACAGTGCAGAGTATATATAACTGCTCCATAGGGTTTCTAAGGAGCCACTGGTGGATTCAAATTGCTGACCTTTTAGTTTACTGTTGTAGCCCTTGACCACTGCACCACCAGGGCTATAGGGTTGCTATGAGTCAGAATCGACTTGACGGCAACTGGTTTGGTTTTAATTCTAGTTTTGCTGATCTCTTTGGCCTGTCTGGAAAATTCAGGATAACTTCCTTGTTCAAGGTCAGTTGATTAGCAACCTTAATTCCATCTGCAACCTGACTTCCTCCTTGCTGTGTAATTTAACATATTCACAGTTTCCAGGGATTAGGACGTGGACACCTTTGGGGAAGAGGACAGATCATTCTGCTAACCATTCCTAGGCATCTGGTAACGGGAGGAACAAACAGCGACCTTCCTGTAATCTGAGCAATGGTCTGCCTTTTATGTTGGGGTCCAACAGAACCCAAAAGAGAACAGAACCCACAAGGGACACAGGCCTCTGAGGCAACAAAAGACAGCCTGTACAATATTTGCCATTTAAAATGGGCATGTGCACTCAGACTCAGAGGACCCAGTAGTATGTCCCTGGGCCAACAGCACAAATATGAACACAGACCATTCTTCTCTATTAACAAAGAAAATAATTGGCCAGCCCAAGAAATAGAGCATTTTCTCAGCTCTAGAGAACCTCCACCATGAGAGTAAGCAGGTTTGTTGTTTCATGAGGCCCCTTTTCTAAGTAAAAGTCCAGGTGCTAACCACTGAAACACTCTCAGCCTTTCTAGGATGACAACAAGACATCAGTCCCCTCCAGAGCATTTTGTTTGCAAATCTCCAAGAACAAGTCATCCCTTGCTTGTTTCCTGTGGGAGACCTTGGGCCATGGGCTTGGGGTTTCACACAGCTCAAGGATGGACAGAGCAGGGAGGTCACTCCCTGCAAAGAGAATGCTGCATCTCTCCGGTTCTCAGGGCACCCATTGAGCCCCTGGAGCCCCAACAACGCAGTGGGCATCTTTGTTCTTCCCGCCTCAGTGGGTGATTGTGAGTGTGTGTATGTGACTAGGAGCAGAAGCCACGGGGACAGGGATATGAGCATCTAAGGGGAAGCGGAATTCACAGTAAGACAGTGGTGTTTCCTTTAGATGTATGGCAATTGAGGTGCCAGTGGCATTAGTGTGGAAATCACTGGCAGGCTCGTAGATAAGACACCCTGTAGAGAAGAAGCCGTTGAGAACTGTTGCCATCTGAACAGCCTGTGGGAGTGAGCGCACATGCAAGACTGTGTCTCAGACAAATCACAACGGGTTTCAGTCCTGTGTACCACCTCCAGAGGTGGCCCTCTGCCCTGGAGGGAGCTACCAGGTTGGGCGGAGCCCATTTAGTGATGTCACTGAGCCAGGTACCCATGGGGATAAAATGTCCCCACCAACTCCATTCTCTGCTCATTCTCAAAAGAACTCTGGTGAGGATAGTTCACATCTGCCCACCCTGCCATGGACACCCGACTTCTCTGCTGTGTCGCTCTGGGCCTCCTGGCAGCCAGTGAGTCCTCAGGACACTTAGCGTTCTCATGCCTGGCTTCCCTGTATTTTCCTCATTCTGCCGCCGAATTCCGTCTTCCTCTATAGAGCACACAGTTGATGAAGTCACCCAGATGCCCAGGCACATGGTGGCAGAGATGGGACACAGGGTGACCCTGAGATGTCAGCTCATTTCTGATGACAACATCATTTTCTGGTACAGATGGACTTCGGCTTGGGGCTGAAGCCGCTGATTTTCTTCCAGAACCAGGCCATTATAGAGCAGGTGGAGAAGCTCAAGGACTGATTCTCTGCTGAGATGCCTGACAGGTCCTTCCCCACCCTGAAGATCCAGCGCGCGGAGCTGGGCGACTCAGCCATATACCTCTGTGCCAGCAGCTCAGCCACAGCACTGCAGTGTAACCCCCTCCCTGTGCACAAACCCTGGTGCTTCCCGTCCCCCACACTCTCACCTCCTGGCCACTCCTCCCCAGGAGAAGTAAGTGGGTCAGACATGGCAAAGGCAGAACTAACACAGGGCATTTTGTGGAGGAATTTGTACAGGAAATGGGTTCATAGTATTCCTCACTAACTGCTCAGAGGGTGCCTTTGGGCTCCAAAGTCACCACAGTTTAAATTGAATGTAAGTCACCACGCTGTGGATTTTGTTGCCTTGCTGCCTTTGCCATTGCCATGGAGGGCAGGCTCCTGACAAGGCTGTGTCTTCAGATGCCCAGCCTCTCCCTGCTCTTCTCCCTCTGAGCTGTGATCTGCATTTCTCCCACCCTTCCCATTGCTTCTTTTGCTCCAGCCACACTGGCCTTCTGCCTGGTCCTCAAAGACATCACCAGGTGCACGTCTGCCTCAGGGCCTTTGCCCCAACTGTTCCTCTGCCTGGAATGTCCTTCTCCAAGATCCCTCCTGACCCTACTTCTTTAATGTCTTCAAGTCTGCACAAATCTCTTCTTCCAACAAGGCCTCCTCTGATCACTCCATTTAATGCTACAAACCTCCTACCATGTCCCCCTCGTGCACTCCCAATCCTTTGCTCTGCTCGATTGCTGCAGTTGTTCCACAGCACTTAACACTTCCTGACACACTTTCTTAAAAGGTCCCTGTGTGGCCCAAGTGGTTTGTGGTCAACTGTTAACCTAAAGGTTGGTTGTTTAAACCCAGCCAGCAGTATCATAGAAAAAAGTCCTGGCAATCTGCTTCTCTTAAGATTGTTGTTGTTGTTAGGTGGTGTTGAGTCTATTCTAACTCATGGCAACCCCACATAACAGAGAACTGCCCCATAGGATTTTCTAAGTTGTACAGCCAAGGAAACCCTATGGAGCGGTTCTACTCTGTGACATAGGGGGTCGCCATGAGTCAAAATTGACTTGACATCAACTAGCAACAACAATACAATTTCTTATGATTCATTAATCTATTATATTTATTGTGTGCTGTCTTTCTCCTCCATTCAGTGTGAGCTCCATGGGGCAGACACGTTTGCTTTAACCACCAGGCTTCTAGGACAGTGGCTAAAGCATAGTAGACAGTGGGTGAATATCTGCTGAATGAATGAATATCTACCTCTCCTAGTTCCTGTAGGTAGGGACTTTGACATTTTCACCACTAATGCTAACATTGTGTGTTATACAAGGAAGGTAATAAAGGAATATGAGTTGAACAAATGGATAAATAGATGAATTTAAAGAGATTGATAATATAAAAGACAAAATCCTTTAGAGTAACTGTTCTATAACAGCTGGCATTGTCAACAGACTCCTAGCCTGTCAGATCTATGATGAGATGATCACACACCAGTCTCCCTGACAAATAAACTTGGATTTGTTTATTTGGGTTTAACAAATGAAAAAATGATTTACCACCTTCTTCATTGCTGCAAAAAGTCTTAGTTTATTCTACTAGTGACACCATCATAGTCTTTCTAAAGCACACTTTCCAGTTAGTGATCATCCAATGACTCTCTGTTGTCCACAAGGTAAAGTCCCACTTTGGGATAGTATTTGAATCTTAGAATCAGGGCTTCCCAGTGTTCCATGGCATTTATCTTACTCTGGAGTCAAATGCACTTTGTCCCCTTGTCAAGCATTCTTACAAGATTTCACGCCTCCCTATACCTTTGCTCTTGTAATTTCCATCAACAGAAATGTTTTTCACTACCTTCGCCCCATTGTCCAATTCTTGTGGTCATTCAAGACACTGTTGAATGCTTTACTTCTCCGTGAAGTAGTAAATGGCTCTGTTTGCTCCAGTTTCACAGTGGGACATAATAAATATTTGCTAATGCTCATACTGGAAAAGAACAACCAGGTAGGATTGATCTAGATAATGCTCATTGTTTATTCTACTTTATGCATACTTTTAGAGATCTGGAATTTGACTGAGCTCTGTACTGCTTCTATGTATGGTCACATCCGCCACCTCTAAGAACCTGCCAAGAGATTCCCACATCAAATTTAAAATGTTTGCTCTGTGAAAGACCCAGTTAAGAGGAGGAAAAGAGAAGCAACAGACTTGCAGAAAGTATTGCAAACTATATATCTGACAAAAGACTAGTATCTATATTGCTCAGCCAAAATTCTCAGAACTGTCCATTCAACCCATAGACTCATCAGCAAAGATGAATGGTTGTAATTCTAAACCACTGCATTTTGGGGAGGTGTCTTAGGCTGGGTTCTCTAGAGAAGCAAAACCAGTGAAGTGTATAAATACACATATAGAGGGAGATTATATCAAGGAAACAGCTCACGTGATTGTAGAGGCTAGAACGTCCCAAGTCCGTGGATCAGAGTAGAGGCCTTTCTCAAGTCACACAGCTGCAGAAGCTGGCAAGCCCAAGATCGGAAGGTTGGAGAGCAGGGCTCCCACTCACAGGCTGTACAGATGGACGAATCCCAGGTTCGGCAGATAAGCTGACAGCTCAAGTCCCAAGAACGGGAGATGAGATGACAGGAAGCAGCCGCAGGATCCAGAGAGAGCAAAAAGCCAGAATGTCTGCTTATATACAGATGCGGGCCACACCCCCAAGGAGACTCCCTTTCATCTGATTGGCTACTCACAGTATATTCAATCATGGGAGTGATTACATTAAAACACGGAGAATCATGGCCCAGCCAAGTTGACACACAATCTTAACCATCACAGGAGGTTTGTTGCCCAGCGTTGCTGTGGCAGGAGCTAAGTGATGTACCCTGTGTTGCAAACGCAGGGCTTCAAAGATTGGCGACGCTTGTGTGCTTGTTTTAGAGGACCCAGATATAGTTAATTTCACGTCTCTCACTATGGGAGATCACACAGAGATAAGATCCAGAAGAATAGACTAGAAAAAGTAATGACTTGGACCAGAATGCAAACATAAATTTAAAGAGGAAAAGTCACTCAACTCCAGTGAATATTGCTTTCTTAGTCATCTAGTGCTGCTACAACAGAAATATCACAAGTGGATGGCTTTAACAAAGAAATGTATTTCTTCACAGTAAAAGGCTAAAAGTCCAAATTCAGGACGTCAGCTCCAGAGAAAGGTTTTGTCTTTGTCAGCCTTCTCATCAATGTTCTCCTGGACTAGGAGCCTCTCCACGCAGGGACCCCGAGTTCAAAGGACACACTCTGCTCCTGGCACTGCTTTCTTGGCGGTATGAGGTCCCACTGTCTCTCTGTTCCCTTCTCTCTTTTATATCTCGAGATTGCCTCAGGACACAATCCAATCTTGTAGATTGAGTCCTGCCTTACTAACACAACTGCCACCCATTCTCCCTCATTAACATCACTGAGGCAGGATTTGCAACATATAGGAAAATCACACAATACCAGGAATCATGGCCCAGCCAAATTGATGCACACATTTTTGGGGGGACATAATTCAATCCATGACTATTGCTAAAACTACTTGTGTTGGTAAAGGCACAGGACAAATTTTTAAAAATATTTGAAACTTTTAAAAATTCAGCTGAATCTTTTTTTTTTTTAAATATTTTATTGTACTTCAGGTGAAGGCTTACAGAACAGATAGTTTCTCATGTAACAGTAACACACATGCTGTT